GTTCCGCCCACACCTACCGACCCGACCACTCCCACCACAGCGCCGCCTAATTTCCAACATTGGCCACAACGAGCCGGCGATAAGAGGTCCCTATCGATGGACGACGCCATGAGTGGTCAGCCGCCGCACAAGAAGTTTGTGCTGAACGGACCCTTCGATCTGGAAGTGTTCACCAATTGTGTCATTTGGGAAAGACATCCATTGCTTCAGTTCCACTCACACCCAGAAGTGGAGTCATTGCGGGCTGCGTTGGTGTTGAAGTTGAGACAACAGTACCACGAAATGTGTCACTCGCGAGAGAACATCGAAGCGCCCAAAGAGTCGTTCAATCGGTGGTTAATGGAGAGGAAAGTGGTGGACAAGGGGTGCGATCCGATGGTGCCGTCGGAGTGCTTCTCCGAGATCTCCCTTTCGATGTACAACGAGATAATGAACGACATTCCCATAAAACTGGTTAAACCCAAGTTTTCTGGCGAAGCGCGCAAACAGCTGTCGAAGTACGCGGAGGCGGCGAAGAAGATGATTGAGTCGAGGAATGCCTCGTCTGAGAGCCGCAAGATTGTCAAATGGAATGTCGAGGACGCCTTCCAGTGGATCCGCAAGACATTGAACGCCACCTTCGAGGACTACCAGCAGAGACTGTCTCATCTCAAACAGCAATGTCAGCCACACATCACCGAAGCGGCCAAAGGCTCCGTTGAAGCCATTTGTAGTAAAATATATCACTTGTCGTGCGAATACGCGAAGAAAATTCATCAAAAGAACATTGAGATCATTACCGCCGATGGACTCAAAGGTTTGTCTCATAACTGCTTTGTCTGTTAACTGACAGCCATTATTGACAATTTCTAGAGAGCTGTCCCTTAAGGGTACAGAACCCCAAAAAGGTGTATTGCTATCCCTGTGTGTTGGCACATCCCTGTCCTAAACAGCCAGCCGTTCATATATTCACCGATAAGGACACAACACATTTGAGATATAAAAACGATTCGTTGCGAATCAGTACCCTTTACTTCCAGAAGTTGGAACAACTCTATCGATACAATTGTTTCGATGACCGCAAGTTTAATCTATTCCTCACCAGAGTTTGGTCTCTACTCAAGAGATATCAAGTAATTATTGACCAATTAATTCATAAGTGTTTTGTAAATACAATAATAAAACTTTTTTTCAATCAAATCGTAATAAAAATGCTTTTATTTTCTATACTAAACTTATTTTTTAATTCAATTTTCGCTTTTATTAAGCAATTCTCGTAATCAATATTAAATTACAGTATATTTAATGGAAAATTAAATGCTTTTTAAAATAATTCTGTGAATATACAACTAAATTTGCTAGTACATTCAGTTTTGATTAAAATAATTATGAAACAACAAACTAATGGACAATATTTACCGGTTCAAAATATTTTTTAATGATTAGTAAAAGTGGCAGACTAATAATTAAATTATTAATTATAAGTATTTAACTTATAAAATGTATTTAGAAAAGTTTCTATTCATTGAATACATATCTTATAAATTCTTTAATATACTCTTATTTACGGATTGATTGTAAATTGAAAGAGAAGTGAATTAAATACTGATTGTCATTACATAGACGTGGTTTGGCAGCAATGAGAGTTCGCCCACTCAGGGAGCACTACCCCTCTCTGTGTTCTCGGTTCTGCACAAACACTTCGGGGTTTGAATTATTAAGGTTTTTACCAGTCAATATTGTTACTGTGCTTTTTCTATGACTAAATCTAATGTATTTTCAATGGAAAAACCTCTTTTTTGTAAACTCAAATGGCGCAGTTACCATGATAGATTTCTACACCAAATAAAATTTTTTTACAAACCGAGAAGTTGGGGCTATAAAACTGTGAAGAGAGGATTAGGATTGGATTATCCGTTTTAGCGTAGGAAATTTCAAGCCCATAAAGTTAACTAATTCCACGATTGTATATATTAAAATTTTTTTACAAACCGAGAAGTTGGGGCTATAAAACTGTGAAGAGAGGATTAGGATTGGATTATCCGTTTTAGCGTAGGGAATTTCAAGCCCATAAAGTTAACTAATTCCACGATTGTATATAATCATGACAATTTGTCAAAATGAAATATTTATAAATTATAATTATTTAGATTAAAAAACTTGAAGACAATGTAATTAATGAAATCAGTTTTTACGGCGAATCCACTCGAAAAGCAAAAGTAAGTCCCTTTTCTAAATGACAGACCGTTCAGTCAGTGATAATCTAACCAAGGCAATATATCATAATTGTTATTAACGCAAATTAGTAAAAAGAATTATGAACATAAAAACATTTATACCTTGATGATTTGTCATATAAAATATGTTTATGAATAATTTTAAATCTATTGTATAGAAATAACAAGGTTGTACCAGTATAGAAATGTTTAGAATTCTTACTATATATGCATTGTTATAAGTATAGTTAAAACACAATACCCTATTACAAATCCAGTGTATGTTTTATAGGGTAGTGTACATTTCTATATTAATTGCTGAAAATAGTGCATTCAATTATGGGATTCGGCTCAGGGTTTTCTTTATAAGTCAGAGACTTTAAATATTTTAGAAAATCATAATTCGATGCAATTATAAAACTGTGAGAAATAATAAATTAAATAAAGAATTGACTGAATCTTAAAAGTGAAGACAAAGATATAAATAGAGAACTAATGAATGAATACTTAGGAAGAGCTGAAAACGAATTCCATCGCCAGAAACAAACAGTTATCGGACCTAAAAGAAGCCAAACTCGTCAGGAGTTCCAGCTTTAATGAAGTGTCCAATGTGTTCACGACATATGAACTCCATCTTCAAAAGTTTGAATACAAAAAGATTTGCGATCTCAAGGTTTATAATACCGTATATACACCGGTGGAGGTAACTACTTTTTCCGATCAAAATTAAATGCTCCAAAACGGATAATCCAATCTTAATCCTCTCTTCACTGTTTTATAGCCCATACTTTCCCGGTTTGTAAAAATATTTTTTATTAATCAGAAATCCACCATGGTAACTGCGCCATTTAAGTTTGCAAAAAAGAGGTTTTTGCATTGAAAATACATTAGATTTTATCATAGAAAAAGTGACAATATTGGTGCCTATGAGCTCCATTTATTCCTAAACTAACCATGATAAAATTAATCCATTTAAAGTGTATTTGTATTTGATCCTGACCATTCTCACGAAGACATTATGTCTCTACACCATGCTTAAGAGAATAAATAGTCATTGTTTGTACAGCAAAAACTATACTAGATAAAATTAATCTGATAACTGGATTTGAAAGATAATTCAAAGTGAGCGAGTACCTATTTCAGGAATTTTTTTATTGGCATTAAATTTCTTGGTGATTACAATTAAAAATTTTAATTTAATGTTAATAAAAAATTCCTGAAATAGGTACTCGCTCATTTTGAAATCTCTTTGAAATCCAGTTTTCAAATTAATTTTGTTTTCTAATATAGTTTTTACTGTAAAAACAATGACTATTTCCTTAAACATAGTATAGAGACATAGTCTTCGAGAAAATGATTAAAACAAAATTCTACAAATTCCCTTTAAATGAATTAATTGTATCATGGTTAGTTTAGGAATAAATGGAGTTCACAAACACCAGTTTTGTATGATGCATTTTCTATGACCAAATCTAATGTATTTAATCTAATCTATTAAACAGTGAAGAGAGGATTAGGATTGGATTATCCGTTTTGGAGTAATTCATTTTTATCGGAAAACAGTTTTACCTCCACCGGTGTATATATATATTAATTACTTAAATGATAAATATATTCAAATTACTAATGAATTATTTTGTGAATATTAACAGAAATTTTTCTTGGAATTCATAAAAAGTGAACTTTTATTTCACGCCAAGACTATTGAGATGTTGACTGAAAGCTATGGCCATATCATGAACATCGACGCCGACAGAGATTTGCAGCAATTCTGCAATTATTTCAGTTTCACTCAATTGGGTTCACCTAAAAGGGATGACTCCAAGACCACAGTCGGTGACAATATGCAAACACATCCGACGTTAAGACGATTCAATTCGGCGCCGAATTTCAATTCAAGTACTAATCCAACAAATAATGATTCTTATGATATGAACACTGACTCGAAATCTATTGAATCGATTGTCGAGCACTCGGAAAGTGATAGCGAATTAGATGTGGAAACAAATCGTTTGACAAAATAGTTATTTTATTATTTGGGATTTAATCATAAATTTACATAATTTACACAAACTTTATCAAATATGTATTATTACTGTATTTTCAAATTAGATTTAATCTAAATTATTACCAAAAAGTATAGAATTTGTCTAATAGTTAGACAACTCATTGTTGAGTTCTTCTCCTTTTTTCAGCCAATCTCTTGGATCGTCTCAAACCAGTGGACAGAGAGAACTCGGAGTCGGTATCCGTTTCGCTGTCATTGTCGTCCGCGTAATACCACTTAATTATAGTGCCGTCCCACTAACACATCATACATACACTTAATATCACACTAATCACCACAAATGCATTCATTATATAATCTTACACTCGAAGACATCAGAGTCATGTCGTACGGATGGAACGATACATCTGTTTGTATTCAATGATATAATCAATAAATCATTTAATAATAATTTATATAATTCTAAGTCAAACCTCTGACACATCCTTTATGTCCACTAAGAGTTTTGACAATTTTTCCGGTCAGCACATCATAAATGACTACTTTCCCTGATGAACAACCGGTATATATATACCGCTGACCAGTACTCCATTCAGGAGAAAAGTGACACCTATTTCATTGCAAACAATCACTTAATAAACAGTAAATATTTTCAAAATACCGTATAATTAAATACCGAATAAGTGTTTGAAGTACAGAATGACCTAAAAATAGAAAAATAAATTTCAAAACAATTACAATAGTTTGTTAGAAAAGTGAGTCCAGAATCTATGAGTACCGGTGCTGTCAATACATACCCATATAAGTCATAAGAGAAGTGTCGCCGTCGATCTTCTTTCGATTGGCCAATACTGTCAAACAATTTGTCATTTAGTTTCACTAATACCGTACAAGAGTGTGGTATTGAAAACATACATTTCCTGGGGATAGCCTGCCATCGATAGTCCCAATTCTGTTTGGCAACAGCTCTTCGTGTGGCCTCAAAACCAATTTGTGGCGAAAAACATCTCATATCCCAGAGTTTGATCGTCTGATCCTTACTATTAGTGATAAGATGTCTTCCGTCACCTTTGGAGTCAATATAAGTAATGCCGTCGACGTGTCCCGAGAGGACACCAACCGGTTTGGGATCCGACTCATTGAGTGTTCTTCGGTCCCAAACCTTTCATCAAAAATAATATATGAGAAACTAATCACAAATAAAAGGGTTTGTAATTACTTTGCATAGACCGTCATCGCCAGCACTGAACAGAATCTGAGAGCTCGAGTCGGCAAAGGCTACAGAATTGACGTCATCCTCATGGCATCGGATCTTTAGGACCCGACTCTTGTGCTCTCTATTGTAGACGTAAAGGCACTCATCGTTAGCACCGCCTAATATCTCGGAGCCGTCCTGAGAGAAACGCAGAGAAAATATACAAAAGCGTCGGTCGTCTGGAGAGAGTGACAGCGCCTCATGGGTTTCAGTGTCGCCATAGATATTGCAGATATGGACTGAACAGACAGACACACAATTAAGACAACTATTAGTGGTTTAATAATCAAATACTGACTGCATTCAGACCAACTCGAGTATATGAAATGCGTTCCGTTGGGACTGTTGTGTCAATTGAATTGAAAGTTAATTCACAGACACCTATCCAATAGTCATGTATACCTGAAGTCAGTGTCGAGTACACTCCAGCCAACATCCCTGGCCCACACGTTCTTAAAAATCTTGAATTTGTCATATCGTGTGTCATATATCCTAATGTTTGTGTCCTGACATGCGGTCAAAAATAATTCACCGCTTTTTGAATAAAATCCGCAAAAAGCTATCGAAACAATAACATTATTGTGTCATTCATTGCAATCATTGATTTGTGGTAATGATTGGCACCTTTGCTGTGATACTGATCGACAGTTAACTTCTTGTTGGGCAGAATGGTGTCCGAGAGTCTGCACCTATCACTCAAACCAAAGGCATGAGAGGCCACGCGATCGCCGCAAACATTCACTCCTATCTCTCGGTTGCGAAACAACTTAGGAATGGGTGGTAAGGGTTTGTCGGCCGACAGACCCGTCTGTGCCTTCAATATGAGCTTTAAATCGCTGCCATCGATGACAGAAGTGTCCGGATTGGGGACATTCACTGCAAACAAATGCAATCAATATATGGTGGCAATGGACGCATGGCGAGGGCCTTACGGGCGGGTATGTTATGTCTGCGACTGGAAGCGGACCGATAGACATAACCGGAGTCGTCAGTGGTGTCCGAGTCGTCGTCCTCGTCGTTGTCAGAACTGGAAGACCTGACAAACCGGATGTGACCTCTTCTGATCAGATATCTTAAGATAGTGTTGAGATCGGGGTCGGGATCCGAGTCCGACATCGACTCGTCGTTTGTCTCTCTGTTACTCTCATTGGTCTCGATGTCAGACATGAGTCGAGATCTCCTCACAAATGGGTTATTGTCTGAAATGTTAGACAAATGAGAGCCCATTAATCCATTCAAATGACCACAAAAACACTAATTAATGGACAATTGAGTGACACTTGAATGCAATCAACAAATACTGGAGACAATCATTACTCGACTTGACATTCAGTGAAACATTTGGCGTAAAACACAAACAAATCAGTGTTTAGTGATTAGTGGACTCAATACTCGTTATAATTAGTTTGATTGGTATGACAATCAAAGCTTACAATCAGTGACACAGTCATACAAACAGTCGCCAAATGTGTAGCAAATGGCAAATCATGTCATCAGAAGTAAGTGAAGGGTTTCACAGTTTTCAGACCCAACACAACACTCCACACGTTATTTACCAATCATTTCATTCAAATCCCATTTAAACGCATTTACATCAGAATGAGAGTACATTTGCTTTCAATACACGTTCACTACAAACCACACAAACAATTGCATTCACTGTCCATAGCATTGGTGGCCAACATATAGCCCACAACTGACCACAACTGACCACTCAATACCGGTTGACACGAACTCTGCACTCAAACCACTGCAACAATCACTCGCAGACCAAACACACAGACCTGTCATATGGTGTATGAGTAATGTGTGTCAACTGTATGTCAATTGTGAACTTAGTTTGCACTTACAGTCACTGCAATACCGCTTATATAGAGTGCTCCCATTGCACCTCCAATCACACCCCCACTCCCCCTATAATCCCCGAATGCAATGAGTAATGCATTTTGAGTACTCAATCACTAAATGGTAAACAATTAGCAAATCTAATGAGTGCTGCAAAGTTAGTGCTCGTGGTGGGGGACGGCATGTTCGGGGGGGATGTGGTGGTGCTGTGAGCGCATGCGCTTGGAGGTGTTGGTGTGAGTGTTGTCTGGCTGTTAGTGAATCGTCTATCAGTTGTGTTGTGAGTGAATGACTGAATGCAAGCTCTCGTCACTCGAGACGCCATTTATATTGTGAGACTTATTCACTGATTAGGCGTTAATTCAGTTCAATCGACACTTTCAATGAGTGTTTGTCCGTCGCTTGTGTCCACCCGAGTGCCCGACAGTGCATGAAATGCGGCCATACATGCAATGTATGAGTATTTCCAGTGTTTCACGAAATGAGAGTTTTAGCGCTTTATTGAAGTTTTGAGTTATGTTTACATTGAATGCAATACTCAATGCAATACTGAATGCATTGACAGTGAAGTCAACACTTCCTCACGTGTTGTTGTTTACCAGTCATGACAACAGTTAAGACAACACCGATTGTCACCCAAACTCATCCACTAATGATCACAACTCATGCCTAACATGAATGACAGC